TTTGTATTTTTGATTTGATAGTTGGGTTTTTTGTAAAAAGATCTTCACTGTGAAGAGTAATTATAAGCATAGTATAATACTCCCTATAACTTCTTATATTTCTTGATTAGCAAAATTCTGTAACAGATATCTTGTTAGGCCTTGTAATATCCAAAAATAATCAATTCTATTACTGCTTGTAACATCCTATCATGTTGAGATTTATTTTTACCTTTCCATACTGCTTGAGTATCTATAAAGCCACATTTATCCAAAAAGTTATACAGTAGAATTTCAGGATGTCAAAAAAATCTAAACCTAATCTTGGAAGATGTTGTTCTATCTTCTGATAGATTATAGGTAGTATTGAGATCACCTATCACTATTATGTGAAAGCTTTGTTTCTGCTTTCTTTTGATAAGACTGATCAACTTTTTCTATACCTTTTTATATTATTGATTGTCTGAAGGAATGTAAATCTATATAATACAGACTTTTTTCTTTTTCATAAGAAAGTTAGTTACTATTATATAACCTTTCTTCTCTTCTATTGATACTATTTTCATTTTCAAATCTTTTTGATTAGAAGGCTGACTCCTGCTCCAAATAGTATGTCTTTATTGATGCTATAAAAATACTCATAGGTTTTTTGATTTCCAAAAGCCTATTTTATATTAATTTTGATTAGCTTAGTTTCACATATTTCTATTATGCTATTCCTTGATCTTATATCTTTTCAATAAGACTTTGTTGATTTGTCTTGTCTGTTACACCTCTGATGTTGTGTATACCTATTCTTACTACTCTTTTCTTGACATCTTCTTTTATTTCTTTTGTATTCTTTATTTGCTCGTCCATGTTTTGGCTTCTCAAAAAGATAATATACTCATTTTGTAGGAATTTATTTATGTTTAAATCACCACCTTGTCTGACAGCTTCATATGAATCTATAGTTTGTACTTTGCTCTTGTTATAAATTTTCATTAAGGGAGAATTGGACTCTTTCTCCCCATATCTATCTTAATCAACTAGTGTAATATTTTAGGAGTGGTCTGTCTATTTTGATCATTCTCTTCTTTATTGGCTAAATCTTGATTTATCTTCAAGCTTGGCAATTTTTCTATTCAGTTTTTCCAAATTTGTCAATATGAGCTTAGTGGATCTTGCTTATTTTTAAGCTCTGATTCATTATAATGTCTTCTATTTTGATTTTCTGATGAACTTCTAGAGTTTTCAATGATATCCTATTACTTCCTGTTGCTGAGTGGCCTAAGGTTCTAATGGTATCTTTGTTAAATATTATCATTCTAACCTTGATACCTTTTTCTTTGATTAGTTGGTCACTTATATTCAATAGTTGTATTAGAGCTTATTGATTCACTGTTTAATAGATAATCTGATATGGGTTCAGTATTCATTTCTATTGTTATATGCTCTAGCCTTTTTCTTAATTTTTCAACTCTAGATTTAGAACCCCTTATAGTTTCTCCTGTAGCTTTTATACTCCAGAATAGTCTTAGTCACTACAAGAAAATATATTGCTTGCAAGTTCTTGTCAGTGCTTTTTTTGTTGTAAAGCATACTACTGTAAAGTTTTGTTTTTTCAATATATAAGAGTTTCTTAATGTATAATAGATCTTAACTTCTATATCATCAAGTGCCTTGGCTATCAAACTTAAGAGTCTTCTATTTGTACCTAAGAGCTTGGCTGAGTATTTATTTTATTCGATCAAAACCTCATTTATTTCTTTATTAGTCCATTTTCTTTAGTAAAAATTGTTTTTGTTGTTTTTATTTCAAGTGATGCTATCTATATTTTTTCAGGATTGGTTTTGAAGTATTTATGTCACTTGAGATAGATCTTTACTCTGGTATTGGTTTTTATCTTATAGATATCAATGTTTTTAACATCTTTATATCTTTTTAGGTGTTTTTTTATATAACTTCTAAAGAGTTTATAATTTACATCTGCTAGACTTATATACTTTAAGTCTTTGCTTTCTTCTGGATTATGGGTCTAAAATATCTTTTTCTCCATTTTGTCTATAGCTTATTGATATATGTATTCTTTTTTCTGAAGACTGAAGGCTTTTTCCTTTCTGTTTATTTCTTCTAAATATTTAAGGAAATCTTCTTCTTCTTTGAAGTGAAGAATCAACTATTCATTACTATTAATAAAACTTTTATAAAGAAGATTTTATTTATCCTGAGATAGTTTTAAGGCATTGTACAAATAGGCTCTAGATTCCTTTTTTGAGCTTCCTGGAATATTTTCTATTATGGCTCCTAATTGATATGCTCCTTTTTTACTTATGTAGTATAGATTTGAAGTGGAATTTGCAACTCTGTTTCTTGTAATATATAAGCTATTTTCACTTATATTTTGATTTTTGATCTTTTCTCTTTGTATTTCAAATTCCATTTCCTCTTTTATTTCTTTTTGTTCTTAAACATTAGATATTGTAATCTCATTGTCTATTGTTAGATTATTTTCTATTTGTGTAACAATTTCCATGGGAAGAGTTTTTATATTTTTTGATATATCTTTTTTTTTTATTATTTCAATAAGTTCATTTTTGATGTATAGCTGAAATAGATTCTCTTCTTTTTCTTTTCCAAGCTATCAGAGGTAAGTTATATATTGTATTAAGATTTATTTTTTATAAAATGTTATCTGTCTACTTCTAAGATATTCGCAATAATACTATCAAGTATTGTACAGGTTTCTGGGTTAATGTTTTTTCTCATACTTTAATGGTAACTTATTTCTGTCTAGCTATTTGTTGTATAGTCTATAATTTATTATATTTATTATGTTTTTTTGCAAGTTGAATTAAAGTATCAATAATATCATTTTCTTTTTTATTTATTATTTGTAGAATCTTCTCTATCTTATTTATTGTGCATATGAAGGGTAGCCAATAGGAAATAAATGATATAATGTTACTAAAGTTATGTGGAACAAAAAATTTTTTTATGTATTTTGCTTCTTGTCTTAGTAATTTTCTATTTTAATTTATGTCTTGATTTTGTTTTAATCAGATACATATTGTTTATCCTTTTTTTATCTAATATTGTTTATTTCTTCTTTATCTAATATTGTTTATTTCTTCTTTATCTAATATTGTTTACACTTGTTTATAATATTGTATTACAAATCTCTACTGTTTTGTTTATATCAATCATATTTTGTAATAATGTTGTGATCAAAGATTTTGATAAATTTATTCATTCTTGATATGTTGATGTGATAGATCTTTGTTGAACTTGTTTTGATAATAGGTCTATATATATGTATATATTCATATTACTTTGACTAGGTGTTTTAATGTTTGTAGGGAGGTGTATGTATATTAGATTATTTGGATCTTAAGAAGCTTTAATGTCTTTTTTGGTCTTGAGGAATTTGAGGTTTGCTTGATTTATCAAGCAAACCTACTTTCTTTAAAATTCTTTGTAATATCAAGAAAGGTGTCAACTAGTACTGGACTAGTTGCAAGCATTGTGAAGTTAATATTAACTCACTTTTTCTTACTATGAATTAGTTTATATTAGTTTCTTTCTATATAGTCAAAAATTATGAAATTTATATATATTATATATTAATATTTATTTTATTTCTTATATTTTTTAAAAAAATTTTTTATTAATACATTCTAAAGTTTTATTATTGTTAAATATTATTATCTTTTTATTAATTATTATATAATTTATTATAATAGTTAATCCAAATTCTCTAAAAGTAAAAATTTGATAAAGGAAGAAATTTTTTATCAGTAATAAACTTTAAAAATGACATATAAAATTTTTTTGAAAAAATATAATAAATAAAACTATTATTAAAATATAACATATATAAATTTTATAATTTTTGATTGTATAATAAAGGATTTAAAAATTATCAAAGTTGAAATTTATAATAAAAATATAGTAAATGGACTCAAACTTTTGAAAGCAACTGTATATCAATTAAATTAATTCTTTTGAGTAAAGTTTATTTATTTAAAAATCCTTTAAATGGATTTTTTCTTTTATAAATTTTTAATTAAACAAATTATCATTTTCAAAATAATTAATAGTAATATAAATTAATAATAATAATTTTTAAAAATAAAAATTGTTATATTAATTTATTGGAAGAGTAAAATATTATTCTTTATTTTATTTTGAATCAACTTAATAGATATTTTCTAATTTTAAATAATATGATCATTTAATTAATAATATTCAAAAACAAATTTATATTAGGTAATAGTTAATATAATATTATTTAATATTGCAATAAATATATTTTATGATAATATAATTTTATATTAAAAAAATCAAGGGATTAAAGAAACAAAATATTAAATAATCTATACAATTATATTATATATTAACAAGTAATATTTATTTAACAAATTTTTTTTTCTATTTTCAATATATAGTATTTTCATGAAATTAGAAAATATGTAATTTGTTAATATTATATAATAATAATACTGTATGTTCATATTTTTTACTACAATTATAACACTAAAATAAACTTAATTTTCTCTAATTGAAATGACATATCGCAGATAATACAGAAACCCATTACAATATATAATAATGTATTATATATATGTTTTATATAATGTAAAAAATATAGCCAATTAAACAAAAAATTAATTGATGTTAAAAACGATTTGATGATATTGATAATACTTTATTTGGTTTTATGTCAAACCTGTGTCAGAATGTATTATACGCCGTCATTTGAAGACACAGTTAAAGTAATACGGACAAGACAGTAACGATAAAAAATTGATTATGAGACGTAAACTGAGATAAAGTATGGTATTACGATAATATGAGCCAACACATTTAATTCTACTTGGTCGAATTACGTAACTCTCAGTGAACTGCGTATAAATATTTCTTTTTTTGTAATGGCTATGAAAATAAAAGTATATATACGTATATATAAATACAGTATACAGTATATGACCTCAACCTACCGGAAAAAATTTGCGCAAGATTTTTTAAAAAATCTTTTCAAGATGCGCATAGTCCTTTTTGCAATTTTGGTTCAGGCCTGCCTTCTGGTCGTTTGCGACACCGACTATACCTCAATCAAGGGATCGAATTACTTTGAAAGGCCCAAGGACACAAGTATTGCGGATCCATATCCCTTTATTATTAAAGAAAAATATAGTAAAGGATTGAACTTTCTCGCTTTTGGAGATTGGGGGCAACGAGGAAATGCCACCGGTCAGCCTCAAGTAGCCCAGGGCATGAAGATATGGGCTGATAAATATAAGGTTGATTTTCTTCTCAATCTTGGAGGTAGACTGTCATCAAATTTATTTGATAAGAGAATTACGCATGCATTTTATTTAATGATGCCTGTGTTGTCGTTAATTGGTTATCTCTATTGCTAGATAGCTTTTATCAAGATTCCGGAAGTACTGTTCCTTTTAATGACACAAAAGATCATGAGGGAGTATTGAGCATAAATGATCCAAAATGGAAAACATATTGGCTTGATGAATACGGTGGGAATCTGCGAAAGATTCCATGGTATTCAGTTGCGGGAAATCATGATTGGTACACCAATGTTACCGCGGAAGTGGATTACTTTTGGGATGTCGACTGGCGATTCTTCCTTCCCTCTCTTTATTATGTTCGAAGGGTTTATTTTGGACCAAAAAATACTTGTGCTGTCTTTATCCACATAGATACCGATCCATATTATTACAATTACACTTCTTATAACTCGACAAACAACCTGAAAAAGACCCTTTTGCAATTAAAATTAAACGAAGTAAGCGAAATTAAAAGCAGATTAAAGTGGATCGAAGATCAGTTGATCAAAGCTCAAGATGCAGACTGGATATTTGTTGTTGGCCATCATCCTCTTGAAGGCTTTTGTCAGCTCCAGAGTCCAAATTATTATTTAATGTACCTACTTCCGCCAGTTTTCAAAAAGTATGGCGTATCTGCATACTTCAACGGTCATTCACACGAGCTTTCATATTCGGCAGCCAATTCTACATCGCCCGTCACTTACTTCTGTAGCGGTGCCGGTGGCGCTACACTTGGAGAAGGTTGTGGAGGTGTAACTTGGACCGCTGGTACCACTTTCGGATTCTTGTATGTCAATATTTCCGACGATGGAAAAGATTTGTATTTCGAATATGTTAACTGCAATCAAACAAATACACCACCAAAGGTTCTCAAGTCGGGGAACCTTAAATCCCGTAAATATAAATCATGATGTGCTTCTGACATAACCGATTTTTTTGTTCCCTATTTTTTAATAATACATATACTATGTAAATTCTAGGAGCACAATTATAAAGTCAGAAAAATCTCTGTCCGCCTTCGAAAATAATTACCCATTAGTCTGTTTTTACATGGCATGCCATATCTCATTTTAAATTACTTCCAACAGAGAAAATAATTTTTTTGTATTCTTTACAATATAATGACGTGATGGTTTACAGCACGTAACTACTAACGTTCCGCATATTCTAGAATTGCGCATGTAGAAATTGTTGGGCTTATTTTTGAGGCTTTTACGGATTAAGTATTGTAGAAATCTACTCGCAAATTTCGTCATGACTCGGTTTTATTGGATGATGAAAAAAATCAAGCAATTAATCACGAAATATGCATTAGGATGCGAAATTTTATTAAGCGTTACTATAATAGTTACATCAATAAAAGTCCAGTGTCCGTTAACACGTAGTTTCTAGATATATTATATAATGCTATCTATTTTAAAAAATTTATACTTTAAACTAAATCTTACATTCTACGGTCAACTCTAAAAAGAAAATGTCATATTGTATGACAAAATTATATTTTTTGTTATCATATTTGAAAGAATTAGCATAAAAGAAAACCATTTAACGAAATCACGTGATTATAAATAGCTGATTTTTTAACCCGCAGTCAGGCCAATATGGCTTGTCCATTTTATTGTAAACATATTTATATTTACATATTTTATGACTTTCACATATTGACTAACTCATCTACAAAGTTTAACCTTCTTTAGATGCAACTTAAGGGATAATATTTCATTCCCTTTGTGACTTGTATTATTCTCTAGTTACTTAAATCATTGCTTACAGCTCATCACTATAGATCTTCCAAAGTTCTAACTAAGATTAAAAATCAAACCATTTAAAACCTTTGGATATCCAACTACTTATTATATTTACTATATTGCCTTGGGACTTTATTTATTTTATGTTTTTTTCTTTTTCTATTATATTTTTGTAGGAAAGAATAAAAAAGTAATTGGTTTCTTTAAAGACTCAATCCATTTTTCTAGTTATATCAGTTGTTACTCTAAGCCTTTTGTATTTGTTGGTAATTCTTCGGTTTTGTTCCCATTCAATAGTAATGCTGTAGCACTTGTTTCAAACTTCCTTTTTAAAGGTCTTCCTTATTTTTTTACAAAATTTATCAATAGTATCTTGTATTATTGTTATTGAGATCTTGAGAGCTTTAAAGTGTTCTTTCAGAATCTTGATCTTGTTTCTATATATAAAGTTACAGACTGTGTTATATAAGCTTTTATCATGTTATTTAATATTCTAAATTTATTTTTATGTTACTTTTTTAATTTCTATCTGACTCTTATCAGATAGATCTTTTGTTTTTTTGATATACTGAAGAATTTTACTTTAAAATTTGTCCTATATAATTGATATTTCACTTTGAGTCTTGAAATATTCAAAGAGATTTCTTCTTGTAAGTTGCATATTGAGCATCTTGTGTTTGAATACAAGTCTGATTTTTTTTTCTATATTACTTGAAGGATAGTTATAAGTTAAGTTTATCAAAAAACTCTTATTCTTGTTGATACTAAAGGAGGTGTAATAGGTATTATATGGATTGAATTATATCTAATAAATTTGTCAATCAATTTTTTTATTAGATATATTCATAGGTCTTGGATATGTTTTTGTTCGGTTCAGGCCAGTTCTATTTTCTTAGTGTTCTATTTTTTAAGAAAATCTCCAATACTGATATCAATAGTATATTTCTTTCAGGCTACTATTATAAGAACTTGACCCAGGTCAGATATTTATTACAAATCAAGGAGTTTTCTCTTTTGACTTGTTTTGCTAATCTGTCTGCTATATTATTGAACTTATTGTTATGATAGGTCTTGATCTTTTTAAGTATGAAACAAAGATTTTTCTTTTATACTGAATTCTTGATTCAGTTCCATGGTGACCAATTGGACACTTTAGTTTATTTCCTTATAGAAATAAACTTTTGTGACTAGATTGTCTTCCATATTTTGATAACTACACTATAATTTGTATATAGTTGCTTTTCCATTTTCAGATATTGTAAAGATTGCAGTAAGTATAGTTATAATTTCTGCTCTTGTATTTGATAGCTATAATGTTGCCCCTACTAAGGATTGATTATTTATTATATTGTTCTCAATTTGAATTCATGCAAAATCTATTTCAAATTCATTCTCTCTTTTTGTATATTTCTTGTGAAATCTGTTAGTAAAGAAAGTGAATTGCTTAGCATTACTTTTATAATTGTGTTTAAGACTTTTTATTAGGTCTATTATATACTTCTCTAATTATATGGCCTGTTTAATCAGTTCAACTTTTCAATTCTTTATTTGTATCTCAATTTCTTCTAATCCCAACAAATATGTGATACTTGATCTATTTATTGGTACTGTGAACTGCCAGTCTTTGGTTTTTTTTGAAAGTGTAAACAGATTTCTTTTTATAAAAATTTCTTACCTATTTAGTTGCAATAGTAATCAGGTTTAGAATATATGTGAAATTATTGGTTGTTTGGATATATAAAGATAACAAATAATACTATTTGTGATAAGATTGTAGGTGAGCTAATATGGTATGAAAAGTACTTCTCTATTTTGTATTTTAACTTTTTTTATAGTGGTTCCTGTTGTTTCGATTAAAACTCTTTAATTTATTTTCCGTTTGTCCATTTTAGGAGTCACTTTTACCATTTAGAGTTTATGTTCAATCCATTTTAGAATTTGGTAAGACTGTTTCAACAAGTCTTGTTGTTCTGTCACCTTTGCTCTGATTTGTATATACCAGCTTAAAATGTGATCTTTACAATTATTGACAAAAATTTGAACTGCTCTCCATTCTCTTATTGTTAATATGGTTATATTAATTAGCTGATCCAAAAATATTATTTTGTTTCTTTTTAAAAAAGGAATAGCTTTCATGTATTCTTTTTCATTATTTATAATTGTTTTGATAGACATACTGCCTCCTTGAGTATCAAAGATCTTTTTCTATCTCTAGCTGTTATATGTATTTTGCAGTTTCTTTGTCATAATCAGAGTTGCAGCCATAAGATTACCTTTCTCAATTGTCTTGATTTCTACTAAATATCAAGTATGTTTTTGGGCTCCCAATATTTGAGTTAACTTTGTTTAAGTCAAATAACTGTTGCAATTTTTGAGGCTTCACTGTTATTTAGTTGACAGAATAGTGTTGTTATATGACTTTTGAGTTAAATTTCCTATATACTTTTGAGTCTAGATTTGTTTGTTGTATATACAATTATTTGACATTGTTCTACAAATTAGGGTTTTGTTTTTAAAAGCTTTTTTATATATGGCTGTTAGATTATTGCAAACTTTTTTATTCAAGTATGTATACTGCATTTTGTACTCTATACAAGAAATTAGAACTCTATTGATAATATATCTAACATGTTTTTTAGTTAGGCTTTTGTTACTAATTGCTTGGATTACTGCTCTGATCTTTATCTTGAGTAAATTAATAGTATCCCAATTGTTATGTTTTGTTGCTAATCAGATATTCAGGAATCTTGCTTGGTCATATTTATCTAGTTTCTTGACTATTAATTTGTCTATCCTTATATGAACTGTGTCTAAGTCTATATTATTTCAATTGAAGGTTAGAAGGATAGAGTTTTCACTATTTATTTATGAATTATTTGCCTGATAAAATTGTTTGGCATTTTTTAAAATATGTTCCATATTAGCTTTGGATTTAACAATCCAAGTAGTATTATTCATATATGCTTTACTACTTGTCTTAGAGAAAGTTTTCTTTAAGGTATGACTTTTGAAAGTCTGGTATCCATATTTCTTCTATCATATATCTATAGTTTGGATTTTCTTGAATTTTGCATAATATGAATCATAAAAAATTCTTCAAAGTAAAAGTAAGATTGGTTCTCCTTAATCCATTCTATCATCAACTATAACTGGATCTGAAAGCTTTGTTGAAAGAATTGTTCTACATTTTCTATTTTCAAAGAGATCTATGGTCAATTGTCTACTAGTAGCTAGAATACAGATTCTGTTCATAGATCTTTTTAACATTTTGAATCTAATCATATTATATGCTTTGGCTGTGTCCTGAAAAAGGATCCATGGTTTCTTTTTCTTTTCTCTGGCTTCTTCACAAATACTATTTAGAAGTTGGATAGGTTTAGCTATACTTTTTCCATGTAAGTCAGCAAAATTAGATCTTCATAAGATTTTATTTTTTTTTATATATACTGGCAATTCTATTGGTTAGTATTTTAATAAAGTATTTTCTTGTTGTCTCTAGCAATATTATGGGTCTTGTATTGCTTAGACTATAGTTCCATAGTTTTGGCTTGAATATTGGATAGATATTACCTTCTTTCTATTTTTTTAATATATAACCTACCTCAATTATTTATTGTATAGTTGTTTGAAAACCTTTTTTTTTTTGAGGATCCAGGTTTTTAAACATTTCATAATTGATATGTGATAGATCAGATGCTTTTTTTTAGGAAGGTTTCTTAGTGTTGTCTTGATTTCTTCTATTGTGATTTCTTTCTGTAAAAGAAAATACATACTGGATTTATCCAATCTTTTGGTTGATATTCTCTTTTCCATTTAAAACTAAGGTTCTTATAGTTAATGTTTTGTTGCTTAAAAGCTTTTTGTTGATAGTCTTTTACCACTTGTTTGATCATTTGTAAGTTTGTAGCTATATTTTCTTCTTCATCTTGGTTTCTAGTTTTAACTTGATCTAAGATTATCTTAAATCTTTTTTAGTTTGGCAGGAAGTATAGCATTTGTTTTTAATTGCTTTTGAGATTTTCACATCTGATTTCAAGTGCTTTGTTGATCTGACTCTTGATATATAAACTTTCTTTCTTTATATAGGTTATTTTTAGTGTGTGTTCTATATTGAAGATATTTTTGAGCTATACTTGAACTTTTTTTAAGGACTGCTAAGCTAT